TTACTAGAAAATATGTATTGTTACATTCGTAAATAGCAACGTTAGAAAAATGTAACATAGTTTAAATTCTAGTGCATAAAAATATCTTCTTATTTTATAACATAGTTGAAATTCTAGAAGGGTGTAACAAGTAAAATATGGTGGTTTAAGAATGTATGTGTGAAAAATAAAAATAAAAAGATATGTCAATAAACGCACCTAAAGTGTATTTAATACTGCAGTATGTATATTTAAAAAATGAATGTAGAAAATAAAAAGAGATGTGTAAATAGAATCACTTTTTTTAAAAATAATATTCAGTTAATTTAAAAAAATATTGTTTTAAGTGTAAAAAAAGTGATTTGGCTATATTTATGAAAATATAAGTTAAGCGTATAAGTCCTATGAAAATGTAAAATATAATCTCAAAAATAAAAATAAACCGTACCAATACTTTGATAGCCAACAATATCTATATCAAATGACTGGAGATAAGGTGAATAGGTTTTCAATTTAGGTGGGTGAAGATAAATTTTCATACTATTATCCATATCTATATTTATACGTAAATATTCAACCCCACACTTTTTTTTTTGTTTTTCTTCTTTTTCCTCCCTCTTTTTTTTTCATCTTTTAACCTTTTATGTTTTTATACATTTTTAAATATATTTCATTTAAATACCTCTTTTGCGATTTTTAAAATATTATTTTTTCCTAATTACCTTACTGAATTAATTTATTCTCAAATGTGTCTTTATATAAACATTTTTTACCTGTGATTCTTATAAATTTCAACTTTCGTTACAAAACATTCCGCACTAAGTTTTTTTTAGAGTTTTGTTGTCTTTTTTTCCATGTCTTTTGATTTAGATCTTTTTTCTCACTTTTATCTTTAATTCCTTCCTCCTTTCTTTTTCCCTCCTCATTTTTTCCCAACAATTTGTATAAATATTGTTTTGAATTTTCTGACTTCTACTAAAAAAAAATTGAATTCTCCAGCAAAAATTAAGGGAAAAAGTAATTTTATTTAATACAAAAGATATTCATTAATTTCTTTCCTAAATATGGCATTTGTCTTTTATTTTTCTTTTGCTCATCCAAATTAAAACACCGCCTGTCATGTACTTTTAAGGTAATAAAATCAATTCGGAATTCAATACCCCTAATCTTTGGTGCCATGTCTCAGCAATTAGCAACATTTCAATGAATAACAATGTTTGCAAACTCGTTGGAGAAAATTGTTGAATTTACTTTTAGATTGTATATACTTGAATTTTTATCATTTATTTTTTATTAATATTTTTTTGATTAATATATTTATTTGACTAAAAATGATATCAATCAATAACAAAAAAGAAAAAATCCAGGAGTATCTGTCTCATTTTTCACTATTTAGATGAGAAACCCATGAGCAGAAACCAAAAAAAACAAAAAACAAAAAACAAAAATAGAAATCCTGCGAAGCAATCTAATAAGAAGTTGAGGACTACTAGAGCGAAAAACCTTGCATCAATTCTCATATGAACTCTTTGATATCAACCTTAAATAAGACTTCTACTATTGATAATTTCTTAAGGTAAACAAGCGTTTTTTTTTTAAAGAAATACAAGTGACTTTTATTGGTCATATAAATAACAAAATTATCATATAAAATTAACAATTTAACGTATTAAATTTATGATAAAATCTTAATATCAAAACTGAAAAAGTAGTATTTTGCATGACTTCAATAACTAGTGTTATTCATTGAAAATAGCATTTGATTTATTCACATGCTGTCATAAAAATGTTCGAATTATCCAATGGTCACTTTGAGTTCCATAGTTTCTGTTGTTACATTTTTATCAAATTTCATAAACCATTATAATTTTTTTTTTTTTTTTTATAATTTTGACACTACGTCTAGAATTACATAGTATTAGTAGTGTATATTTTAGCATCCTTCTTAATTTTTTTTAAACTCTTCTATGCTTAACGATAAATTAAAAAAAAAAATCAGCTTTTCTTTTAAAAAGTACTTCCTTATCTATCCTTCAATCTTTACTGCTCAGACAGAGTCAGAAGAAAACAAAATATTTAGAGAAAAAAGACAAATACCTTTTAATATGTGTAGGTCTTAAATTTTTTAGAAAATTTAAAAGGTGTTCCATTAATTTCACTTAATACAACTTTTACGTTTGAGTTTTTTAAAATTCAAGACGTATTCCTTGTATTTTTTAAAATAGACAAAAAGTATCTATTTTTTTGGTTTATTTTTTGAAAATTACTAAATTATCCTTGCATGTCTTATATATTATTTAAATTTGTGTTTGGCTATATCAACTTCTAAATACCCCTCTTAAATATTTTTTCTTTCTATTTTTTTTTTTTTTTTTGAAGTGGATCCTCTTAGGAAATTTGTAACACCAATTTGAACAAGTCTTTTTTCGATTTTATAAGAAAGTGAAATTTAAAAAAAAAAGGTGTAAATTTTTTGTCACATAGTAGTACTGGATAATTCTAGCAAGTTAATTTATTACACACTATAAAATACATTTTCACCTCAAATTGGAAAATAAATTTGTCATGTTTTGTCAAATATAATTTCAAAAAAAAAGAGAATTACATATTTTTCCAAAAAAGATTTCACTTTCTTATTAAAATGAAAAAAGAGCAAAAAAAAAAAAAAAACTTATTCAACTTAGTGTGTAAATTTTCTAAGAGATATAGCCTAACACAAATTTAGATATTATATAAAATATTCAAGGATACGAGGACAATTTGATCATTTTAAATTAAACATAAAAAGTTAAAAGAATGATACTTTTATATGAATTGAAAAATAAAAGAGATACTTTTAAAATTTTAAAAAATTCAGAAATAAAAATTATATTTAACAAAATGAAAGGATATTTTTTAAATTTAAGAGTTTTTTGGTATGTATGTCGTATTGATAGGTCATGTTTTTTTAACCGTTGAATCTATATATTTTTTTTTACTTTTATGTGATTTTATACAGATTCAACATATAAAAAATTTGACATATCGATATGTTAACGTACCAGAAAAGGACACGTGTAATTTTCTATAAAGAATTTAACAGATGTTAGCAGAATGGATTAGATTGCACATATTTAAAGAGATTATGGGCCGTTTTATTAAAAAAAAATTAAAAACTGAACTGTCACTTATTAAAAAAGTTAAGGACTATTCGTACTAATAACTTTTAAATTTTTATCTGTTTAAAACTGTTTAGTCAATTTTATATTAAGATATTTATGAAATATTTATTTTCTGTATTTATCTCTGATTCTGAATTATAATTATAATTTTTTACAGTATTTTTTTCTCACAAAAAATACACATGAAATAAGAATAGTTCTAAATTTACGAGAACAAACGTAGATCAAAAAGGTAAAACGTAGATGCTGAGTCAGCTTGTCGGAGGATTAACGGTTGATATTTGACAGAAACAGAAGACTTGGGACCCACTTGACGTGGAAAAGAACAAAGACTTCTCCTTTTCTTCTGTGCCGTACATCGATTGTATTTCAGATATTTTCACATCCTCGAGTCCTCAGGTCCGCACGTTGGAGGTTGCAATTCATCAACGAGATGACACTGAGAGCTCACAAGAATTTATAATAAATTTAAATGAAAACGGGATACAAAAAATATTAAAGTAGAAAAATTGCAGTGTATAGCGGATTTCCTAAACTTAACTTATTAAATAGCATAATTATTTTATAGTAATGAATAACATATTTTTAAAAATATGAATTTACTTTTCTCATTTTACCCTTACTTTTTTATTACAGCCATAATGCTGAATTCTGAATCCCCTAAAAAATTCTCAAAATTTTGCTATTAATTTCTATTCCTTTAATTTTCTGTTATAAATTTGTATTACACACCCTACAATTATGCTATATGCCTCATTACATCACTTAAGCATGTCGTTGGAATGTATGCGTGGGATTTACTTACTGTCGTTGGAAATAGTCTTTTTATCTTAAGTATCTATTTGTATTTTTTCCCCCTAAATGAACTAATCTTGTACAGAAGTTTAACATTAATTTTTAATGTTTAGAGTTGAAAATTTGTGAATTTTTAGGCCGTATTTAGAATTGATCTCGTTTTTATTTTTCACGTTTTTTGAGAAAGAAAAAATGAAAATGTTTTTAAAATGGCATTTGGCGCAATAAAGATAAAAAAGGAAAATGAAAACGATTTTTTAATTTAGTGTAAAATGAGAGAAATGAAAAACGACTTTTAGTCGTTTTTTATTTTTTATTTTCGTTTTTTCCTCTCTCGAGCAGAGAGAGACATTAATAGGGTTTTTTATGCTGAAAATAATCTCTTGATAAAATTACCAAACGCATTTTTAAAAAATGATTTCTGTCTGAGATTGAAAACGTTTTCATTTTCATTTGCATACAAAAAACAAAATCATTTTAGAACGAGTTCCAAACGCGCCCTTAATGTTTTACTTATTTGTCAAACTATTTTTTATAACCTACCAGTCAAAACCAACTTGAACCAACAAGAAGCAAGACCTGCCATTCAATAATGAAGATAATTGGAAAATCAGGCACTCATCTTCTAATTATGCTTGGCTCACCATTCCATCTCCTCGGAAAAAATATTCGTTTTGCTTTCCCTTCAAGAAGTAGCAAGTTCAGCTTCCGCAAAATTTCAAAACGAAAAACATCCTTGCGAGCTCTAGCCATGGAGAGATGCTCTTCTTATGCAAACAGGTATGCATGCTTAATGTGATGTGTGTATAATTTCTCGTTTTATGTAATGCCAAAATAAACGAATTTGTTGCGAATTCATAACATTTTGTTAATTGATTTTTGGCTTTCATTAACTTTACATGCATGAGTTCAGATATGAAAAACTCTCAGTATGTTCCCAAGGAATATGGCAAAACAAAATTCAGGAGTCAAAAGTTCAGATTCATCAGACCATCCAAGAGAAATGTGAATTGACACAATAAACAATTAGGACTAGACTAGCAAACTGTCGCACATAATCCCAAATTCATACAAGAAAACCATCTTTTTTTTTTCAGCTGATTTTCCATTCATTGTGGAGATGAATCCACAAAGCTCCATAGGTGATTTAAAACAGATGAAGCAAAGACCATAACAAACAAGTCACACCACATTTCAAAATACTAAAAATACAGGTCATTCTTTTTGACAGATCTACAACCATTACAGAGAACCAATTCATACATTCAGTTTCAGAACCCATGACTTTAGCTTGTTCCCTTTGTTCTCCTTCCAAAGTTTCATCCTCTTTAGAGGTAGATAAGCGTCTCGAAAATTGACATGTACCACCCCCACATCTCTCTGTGCATTTTCAGTCATGTCTCCCAGTTCTCCTCAGCGAATTGGGTGATACTGCGTGATCCCACGTTTGGGAGGTAATTTCCTCAAAATGAATAGCACTAAACAAGAGGGTAATATCTCCACCAACTGCACAAGACAGGGAAAAACGAGAACAAAATGTCAATACCAAGTAGACCACAATCACATATATGAAGACAACCAGCCTCGCATGGAAGTTACATTGCACGAGTCTCAATAGCCAAGAGCCAACCACAAATACAAATTACAGTCTCCTCATACAGGTTCTTGTCTTTGGAATACAAAACATTAATGTAAATCAAGTCTAAGATGCAACAGATCATAATCCTTTTGATAAAAACAGAAATGTCAAAAAAAAAAAAAAGAAAAAGAAAAAAGAAAAAACCCTTGCAATACAAGAGGAATGAGAACAAAACATTATTAAAATACACAAATTCTCGCTTAGAAATAATTTCTCATCAATATTAAAGGTTTGCGAGTGCAGTATTATAGTTCAATATATCTGCTTAATTTCATAAACAAGAATGTTGTCATTTGCCACTTCGAACAAACTAAAGAATAAAGCTCATGGGGCACCTACTTCCTTGAAAGACCATGACGGATGAACATTAAGCGCATAAAGAAGCCTACTGCCTATTTCATTTCTTATAAAACATGGCAGATTTGACAATCAAACAAATGTTCTAACCAAACACTAGGTGTGCATTCATGCCACCTACTTTAAAAATAGCAGAGACAATTAAAAGATCAGGCAATCAACCCCCTTGCAAAAGTTGAAGGATCAAACTAACAAGCTTTGCCACACCACAAAGTGAGTACATAGAAGAATAGCATTACAATAAAAAAAAAAAAGAATAAAAGCAAAACATAAACTGGATAGCTTACCAGGTAATATATCAAGTTTAGAATTGGATGATCCAAAACATCAAGGTCAGCAGCTTTATCAAACACATTCAGGCACACCTACAATATAAGAAAACAACAAACAAGAGCTAGCGTCTAAAGAACAGAGGCATGCATAAGAACATGGCAGATGCTAAAATCACCATCATCCAAAGAACAATTTTGAATTCAGTACAAAGCCATCAAACAGTTATCAATAGTTTAACAAAACATCAAGTTCCTTATGAAGTAGTATGTGCGTGCAGCTTTTTATGGTAAGAAACACTCACCATGATGCATCTGATAAGGAAACATGAAAAGCATATGGTTGTCACATAGCCAACCTGTTCAAATAAAAACAGAAAAGAATTAGAATCAATATAGAATAAGTGAATCTCTGGATTAAAAAAAAAATGGAAGAGGAAGAAGAATAAAAGAAAAGAAAAGAACTGATAAGTTATGACCTCCTGCAGCTTCTTACGGCGGCCTTTTGATTCTACAGGGAAGCGTTGCAACATCAAGAAGAGCCTGCCAGAAGACAACGGCAGACAGATCATCAGGACATTTCACATCATGTAAGTTCCGTGCTAAAACTCACACATTGTTTCGCATCCAATAATCCATGAAAAAGTGGCATTAACTTAAATAATGGAAACCTAAAGAGGGGCCACTAATACGATTCCAATAAGAGGACGGTAGGCATGCATATAGTGATTAACCAAAACAAAAAATTAAAGAAACTGAAAAAATTTATAAAAAAAAAAACAAGCATTTTTCAAATAGAAACACACATAAGATTGGACGTCAAAACATTCTACTCCCCAAAGGCCAGGAAGACCACACACCTGTCGAATGCAAAGCAGTGGAGGCAATGAAACGTGAAGCAGCCTACCTGATTAATATCTAATTGCAATCCTTTGCAAGGCCACAAAGACGGAGAGCTAGACCCTAATTCAAGAAAAGGGGATACCCCCAATTTTGAGCCGCCAATTTTATTAATAATTAAAGGCCAAATACGCTAACATAAACTGAATCCAGCACACAAAATTGCATAACTGAGATGCCCTATGTCACGTAGGCTTGAGCTGCCTATTGGAGTCGTGCGTAGTATTTGGAATAAATAAACTAATCGCAATACCGGGGTTCCAGTTTGTCCTTTTATGTTATACGTGTCCATATATTAAACATTATATACATCTTCACACACACACACACACAAATATAGTCTTATTTCTCCTAGTTATAATAGCTAAATATGCATGAGTAGCATTAGCATATGGTCATTTTGTTTGAAACAGTAGAAAATGCATGCTATACTGAATGCAGAACAAGTACCTTCCCCCGTACAGAAGAAACCCAAGTGCGGCAAATAGGGATACACCTGCAAAAACATTTGTTAGAACTATACATACACCAAGATAAGCTACTGTACTTGGCCAATGTTTTTCTAGTTACCTGCAAAGAAGATCTTAGACAGAATGATGACAGCGGGAATGGGCTTCCACCATGATATAAACCACAAGGCAATCTGGAAGCAATTTAATCATAAAAAACATAAAATTATTTTAGGATCAATAATATTCCTCGGAAACAACAAATAACATTATAAAAGGATCCAAATATAAAACCTGTGGTAACTAAACAATAGAAACAAATGCATGCATTGCACTATAACAAAAACGAAGCATAACCAAACATCATGATGTCATTGGAAACAACAAATAACAATATAAAAGGATCCAAATATAAAACCTGTGGTAACTAAACAATAGAAACAAATGCGTGCATTGCACTATAACAAAAACGAAGCATAACCAAACATCATGATGTCATTGTCCTACATATAGGCTACAACACACACACACACACACACACACACACACACACACACACACAAAGAAATGAGGAGGAGAAAAGGATCCAGAGGTCTGCTTAGCCCTCAGAAACAATCTGAATATCATCCCGATTTCAAAAATATATATAGAGAGAACATAGCTAGTCTAAAAAATATATCATTGAACATAGCTACCAAAAAATCAACAATTCCGATGTATGCAACAACAGACACCACGAACGAGTTGCATTGACCCTTCACTTAACTTTTCTTTTTTCAACTCATGAGCTACATAACTCGTGCCAGCCCCGTATCATTTCCTTAAAACCTCGAATTGTGACAAAGAAGGGATCTGATTCTAATATTTTGTACGTTGCTGTAAATCATATTTTTTCCCTTACCCAGACAAGTTGAATTAACACATTCATATAAACCTTTCCTTTTGACCATTGCGTCTACCTCAATAGGACTGGAAACTCCAATATGAAAAGAATTTTTGGAAAACAAACACCCGTTAGTTGAAGACAGTCACAACAAAGTCATGTAACATGGATACGCATCTTCAATGTGGGATTCCTGTATCTCTTATCCAAGAACAAGAGCTTGCATATCGTAGTACCAAAAACAAAAAATGAAAATAAAAGAAAAGGAGGAAGAAGAAAATCAAAACCATCTCATTATTAAATGACTCCATGCATGAAAATCTTCAGTAGATTGTAATCTCAGGCCTTTTAGTTCGCTACATCATAATATCTAATAGATGAATTCCTCAAAACCTCAAGTTTCTCCCATCAGCTACAAATCAGAATACACTCGCACAAGTCTAACATGCCATCCGTAATTAACAACATTTTTTCCCTTGTCAAAGACTCAAATATGGGCCTTTTCTGATTATTCAATTCCTTCTTATCCCATTGACAAAAGAACCCGTCACAAATCTCAAAGTTACAGTAATAAGTAATATCAAATAAATTTCTATGAAAAAGGAAAGGAAAATGTTCTTTAGGACCCCCAACAAGAGAGAAATCAGAAAACTATATTAGAATAATGTTAGGATCCTAACTCAGAAATACCATACTCACACACATCAGAAACAACAAGAAAATGAGAATAATTAGAGGGAATTTTATTAATCTAATCAGCCAAGAACACCAAATTACACTGAAATGTAAAGGATAGAACGGAGAATTCGAGTACTCCGGGACCTCCTAATTTAGTGGTATTCGAGAGGCCACCGCTCTCCTTAATCTCAGTTTCTCAAAACTCTCCAAATCACAACATACCTCTAGTGAGCTACTAAGCCCTTTATTTATACTAATTCCTACTAACTATATCAGCCCACTAACCAAACAAGTTCCCAAGTCATTAACGGATCCTAACATTACTCCCGCCCCAAAGAAACACCTTGTCCCCAAGGTGTTAAGTAATCGCAGCCGTGTGTCTCCACTTCCTTCCAATTCCTATTAAGCCAATTCCATTCAACCCCCCTTCTGCCACCCCGCTCTTTGTAGATCCGACCCCAATTAGACCGAAATAAGAAGACCCAGTCCAAATGTCACTGAAATTGTCCTTAATCGCGTTGGAAGTGGGCAGCCCAACCTTAACGGCATCGGAACCAACCCAAATCACGCCGGATTTGAGAAACTCAGCCCTTGGCTCGCCAGAATATGCCCTAATCGCACCATAATCACGAAGCCCAGCCCCAATTGCGCGGAAATCAGCCCCAATCACGCTGGAATTCCAAGACCCAATTCTAATTGCTCCAAAATCATCCCTCATGACACTTGGATTCCAAGTCCTAATTCCTACTAACTATATCAGCCCACTAACCAAACAAGTTCCCAAGTCATTAACGGATCCTAACATTACTCCCGCCCCAAAGAAGCACCTTGTCCCCAAGGTGTCAAGTAATCGCAGCCGTGTGTCTCCCCTTCCTTCCAATTCCTATCAAGCCAATTCCATTCAACCCCCCTTCTGCCTCCCCGCTCTTTGTAGATCCGACCCCAATTAGACCGAAATAAGAAGACCCAGTCCAAATGTCACTGAAATTGTCCTTAATCGCGTTGGAAGTGGGCAGCCCAACCTTAACGGCATCGGAACCAACCCAAATCACGCCGGATTTGAGAAACTCAGCCCTTGGCTCGCCAGAATATGCCCTAATCGCACCATAATCACGAAGCCCAGCCCCAATTGCGCGGAAATCAGCCCCAATCACGCTGGAATTCCAAGACCCAATTCTAATTGCTCCAAAATCATCCCTCATGACACTTGGATTCCAAGTCCTAATTCCTACTAACTATATCAGCCCACTAACCAAACAAGTTCCCAAGTCATTAACGGATCCTAACATTACTCCCGCCCCAAAGAAGCACCTTGTCCCCAAGGTGTCAAGTAATCGCAGCCGTGTGTCTCCCCTTCCTTCCAATTCCTATCAAGCCAATTCCATTCAACCCCCCTTCTGCCTCCCCGCTCTTTGTAGATCCGACCCCAATTAGACCGAAATAAGAAGACCCAGTCCAAATGTCACTGAAATTGTCCTTAATCGCGTTGGAAGTGGGCAGCCCAACCTTAACGGCATCGGAACCAACCCAAATCACGCCGGATTTGAGAAACTCAGCCCTTGGCTCGCCAGAATATGCCCTAATCGCACCATAATCACGAAGCCCAGCCCCAATTGCGCGGAAATCAGCCCCAATCACGCTGGAATTCCAAGACCCAATTCTAATTGCTCCAAAATCATCCCTCATGACACTTGGATTCCAAGTCCTAATTCCTACTAACTATATCAGCCCACTAACCAAACAAGTTCCCAAGTCATTAACGGATCCTAACATTACTCCCGCCCCAAAGAAGCACCTTGTCCCCAAGGTGTCAAGTAATCGCAGCCGTGTGTCTCCCCTTCCTTCCAATTCCTATCAAGCCAATTCCATTCAACCCCCCTTCTGCCTCCCCGCTCTTTGTAGATCCGACCCCAATTAGACCGAAATAAGAAGACCCAGTCCAAATGTCACTGAAATTGTCCTTAATCGCGTTGGAAGTGGGCAGCCCAACCTTAACGGCATCGGAACCAACCCAAATCACGCCGGATTTGAGAAACTCAGCCCTTGGCTCGCCAGAATATGCCCTAATCGCACCATAATCACGAAGCCCAGCCCCAATTGCGCGGAAATCAGCCCCAATCACGCTGGAATTCCAAGACCCAATTCTAATTGCTCCAAAATCATCCCTCATGACACTTGGATTCCAAGTCCTAATTCCTACTAACTATATCAGCCCACTAACCAAACAAGTTCCCAAGTCATTAACGGATCCTAACATTACTCCCGCCCCAAAGAAGCACCTTGTCCCCAAGGTGTCAAGTAATCGCAGCCGTGTGTCTCCCCTTCCTTCCAATTCCTATCAAGCCAATTCCATTCAACCCCCCTTCTGCCTCCCCGCTCTTTGTAGATCCGACCCCAATTAGACCGAAATAAGAAGACCCAGTCCAAATGTCACTGAAATTGTCCTTAATCGCGTTGGAAGTGGGCAGCCCAACCTTAACGGCATCGGAACCAACCCAAATCACGCCGGATTTGAGAAACTCAGCCCTTGGCTCGCCAGAATATGCCCTAATCGCACCATAATCACGAAGCCCAGCCCCAATTGCGCGGAAATCAGCCCCAATCACGCTGGAATTCCAAGACCCAATTCTAATTGCTCCAAAATCATCCCTCATGACACTTGGATTCCAAGTCCTAATTCCTACTAACTATATCAGCCCACTAACCAAACAAGTTCCCAAGTCATTAACGGATCCTAACATTACTCCCGCCCCAAAGAAGCACCTTGTCCCCAAGGTGTCAAGTAATCGCAGCCGTGTGTCTCCCCTTCCTTCCAATTCCTATCAAGCCAATTCCATTCAACCCCCCTTCTGCCTCCCCGCTCTTTGTAGATCCGACCCCAATTAGACCGAAATAAGAAGACCCAGTCCAAATGTCACTGAAATTGTCCTTAATCGCGTTGGAAGTGGGCAGCCCAACCTTAACGGCATCGGAACCAACCCAAATCACGCCGGATTTGAGAAACTCAGCCCTTGGCTCGCCAGAATATGCCCTAATCGCACCATAATCACGAAGCCCAGCCCCAATTGCGCGGAAATCAGCCCCAATCACGCTGGAATTCCAAGACCCAATTCTAATTGCTCCAAAATCATCCCTCATGACACTTGGATTCCAAGTCCTAATTCCTACTAACTATATCAGCCCACTAACCAAACAAGTTCCCAAGTCATTAACGGATCCTAACATTACTCCCGCCCCAAAGAAGCACCTTGTCCCCAAGGTGTCAAGTAATCGCAGCCGTGTGTCTCCCCTTCCTTCCAATTCCTATCAAGCCAATTCCATTCAACCCCCCTTCTGCCTCCCCGCTCTTTGTAGATCCGACCCCAATTAGACCGAAATAAGAAGACCCAGTCCAAATGTCACTGAAATTGTCCTTAATCGCGTTGGAAGTGGGCAGCCCAACCTTAACGGCATCGGAACCAACCCAAATCACGCCGGATTTGAGAAACTCAGCCCTTGGCTCGCCAGAATATGCCCTAATCGCACCATAATCACGAAGCCCAGCCCCAATTGCGCGGAAATCAGCCCCAATCACGCTGGAATTCCAAGACCCAATTCTAATTGCTCCAAAATCATCCCTCATGACACTTGGATTCCAAGTCCTAATTCCTACTAACTATATCAGCCCACTAACCAAACAAGTTCCCAAGTCATTAACGGATCCTAACATTACTCCCGCCCCAAAGAAACACCATGTCCCCAAGGTGTTAAGTAATCGCAACCGTGTGTCTCCACTTCCTTCCAATTCCTATCAAGCCAATTCCATTCAACCCCCCTTCTGCCACCCCGCTCTTTGTAGATCCGACCCCAATTAGACCGAAATAAGAAGACCCAGTCCAAATGTCACTGAAATTGTCCTTAATCGCGTTGGAAGTGTGCAGCCCAACCTTAACGGCATCGGAACCAACCCAAATCACGCCGGATTTGAGAAACCCAGCCCTTGGCTCGCCA